ACCCATGGACCTTAGTATGGCCCAGAAAACCAACCGCTGGAACAACAACAGTCAGAAAAATGACAGCTGGAAAAAGGACAAACAGTGTTACAACTGCAACCAGAAGGGACACTTAGCCTACGAATGCAAGGAGCCCAAGAAACAGAAGTGGCAACCCGTCCACGAACGAACCAAGCAGATCAGCATGGCAACCAAGACACCCCACGCATCCCTGTCATGGACCGGGTGCTACAACGACAACTGTCCCACGCACCAAAGCGACAAAGAAGCATCGGGATACTACCCCCGAAACCCTGACCAGGGAAGATCAGGTTATGACGACCTGATCGAGCAAAGAAACTGGCGAGAAGAGATCGCAGGACGACCCAAGACCCTCGCCATGGCCTTCAGAGCAAACAGTAAGATGGCCCGAGAGACTGTAGAACAGCTTGACGAAATGCTACGAATCCAACAACTGGGACCCGCTAGCTCGTCCACGGCCCTTCAGTCGGCACACGAACAAGAACTCGATGAGCAAGTTGAGGAAGAATCCGACGAAGAACCGGATCACCAACACGACCCTATGGAAGAACAACGACTGCTCAACCTCACGAGCAACTGGACTTTTGGAGAAGGAGAAAGTTCACAATACGACTCGGAAGAACCTCGTGACGTTGCCCGCCAACGTGCTCAGGCAGAGATCACCTATGGGTTCACCCCCAGCGTGGACGACACTAGCTCTGAAGAGGAATCCGACGACGAGGAAGAAACCCGACAGCTCCTTCAGTATCAGACAATCGACATAGAACACGACGAACAACAACGGTACTTCTATGGAACGCCCGCTAACGTGAGAAATCGGGATTACACCCCAAAACTCCACACAGAAGACCACCCAACCCTGAGAAGTGATCACCGAAACCACCGAACCCTCTTCTGGCCTCAATGCCTCTTCGACAAATGCAAAGAACACCTCGGAGGCAAGCACGAATATCAGTTCTACCCCAGAAGATACAACGAGCATCCCATCAGGAACGTTTACACAGTTTCCACCATGATAGGATGGACTATGATCGCATTCGACAACAATCTAGCAATCTTCAGCCCAAGCCAGCAATACCCCATGAGATGCCAGCACGACGACACCATGAGATGGGAGGAATGCCGAAAAGACGAGTGCCTCATACACGCAACCCAAAAAGCAAAGGCCCTCAGACTCCTACAAGAAGGATCGAGCCCACCAAGGCTTCGATTCCAGGAGAATCGCCTCACAAAGGCACGACGGGAGGGAAAACACATCACCTACCCAGGACAACCAGAGCAGTCAAAAAACTAGACTCGCCTACCGACGAAGGACCAAGACAGGCAGGAACGACAAGGTCCATTTACCTGGTACCTATAGACCAGAAAACTCATCTACAACTGAGAGTAACGATTAAAGGCAAAGAAGCCACCGCAGTAATTGACAGCGGATCAGAAGCGAACTTCATATCACCAAGGACGGTGAACCAACTAGGGATACAATGGGGAACGAAACAACACCCCTACCAGCTCAGTAACGTGGAAGGAGAACAAGTCCAGTACGAAGGCGGAACCATCAAACACGAGACTGCGCCCCTCGAGATGAGTTACCAGGATCGGAAAGAACAACTCCAACTCGACATCACGAATATCGGAGCATACGACATTGTACTAGGAATCCCCTGGTTAAAAGATAACAACCCGCGGATAGATTGGAGAAAAGGCCAACTCCATTGGGACCACGACGATCCAGTCCCTGAGCAGCCCTGCAGAAACCAGGCCTCAAACGGATCCCACAAAGGAGCAGCGACGAGATACATCTGCTACCTCAAGCCGAAGGAAGCCACGTCACAACCAGTGACCATAAAGGATCTTGACAACAAGGAAGACCCGCTTCTGTCTA